CAAAACATTGTTTTTGATAAGAAAAATAGTTCGCAAAGCTTTTTTGCAATCTGGCAACCTTCGTATGGAAAGCTCTACCAAGTGTAACGTATTGTTTCCTTTTTTTGTTCTTGGTGTGGCATATGGTGTTTACTGTTATGTTAAAAATTTTATTCTTGGTGGACCTTTTGAATTAAATTGTTTGTAACCGAAAAGTTTGTCACAAGAAAAGTTTTTAAATAATATTACCAGAAATTGTAAAAATTTTCTTACATTCTGAGTCGGGTTTGGTGCAAAAAAAAAAAATGGGAGTTTGTGATAGCTAGTTTTCTCTATTTTTAAAAATAATATTTTGCCAGTCTTCCACGTGATTCCTTTAACTGTTAAATTTTGCTGCTAGATGTAGCGTGAAACTTAGCGTTGGTAAATTCGTAAAATTAAAATAAGAATGACGTCATTTTAGATTAAGACTGAATCTAAACAGTAAGTGTACGACGGTTGAGCTTTTTTCGCAATTAGAAAGTAAACAAAATGCAGAAAATCGTTTTACCCGATATGTTCTGTTCAACCAGATTTCAATGATTTTTCAACATTCTCACAGTTGAATTTCTAAAATCACTTTGTTTTAATGAATCGTACACTTTTTTGCCTTACCTTTAAAGCCAGGACGTAGTGCAGCTTTAATATAACCTATGTTCAAATATTATACTGCTACAGTTTTGTTCCAAAAAAAAAACTTTTAAATGAAGTGTAAGGAATGAGTGAGTAATTTCATAAAAAAATTCTGCTGGAGAAGTATACGCTTTTGGAGGATGGCATGTATTGTTGAGAAGAACTTCAGCTAATTTGCTTTTAAACTTTTACACAGGACAAAAATGTGAAAATTATCAAATTTTTGACGCGCAGAAGTAGTCATTTTACATGACTACAAATGGTTGCAAATTAGTAAACCGTTCCATTACGGGTGAAAGTTCTATGTAATGGTTTGTGATTTTTATCACAACGTTTTGTTCAAGGACGTCACAACAGACACAAAACACAAAAGTCATCTGAGTGTTTGACGTAGTAAAAGGAAGGATGACAGGTCCAGAATGGATACAGTAAATGAATTTTAGAGTAGATGGTGAATGTACATGTCACTCTTGTTTACCCGTTTTATTCTCCTGATTGAAGTGGTCAAAAATTCTAGCATTGAACATTTTGTCGTCGGGAACGTTTACGTGTTTTCAGTCAATCATTCGTCTTGTCGTCTTTTATGCTGAAGTTGGTTTACTTAGAATCTGTTTAAGTGGAAGTTTGCAGCCGTTTTTCTTAAAAATGATCCTTTGTTAAAGGAATACCTCAGTAGGGCGATGTTGAAAATAGAAAACAGTGCGATTTTTCGACAGTTTTTGAAAGGATTATAACAAGTGTAAATAGTTTATTGAGCGCGTAGGAAAAAAATGACCTCCAACAATTACAAATGGTAATGAAAAAAAGATTAAAAAAAGACTAGTGAGGAAAAAATTATGGGAAATTTGTTTTTGTTGCTGCTGTATAACGGACTTTTAATTGTTTCTAATGACATATTATTTGGATAGCTGTTGAATCACAGTGCTCATCGTTTGTGAAAATTCAATTATCATATTTTCTGGCTGATAGTAATGATAGGAGACTAATCAGATGATCAGAAGGTAGTCATATTGCCAGCTGAAATCAGCGGTATGGTCAGTCTTGGAAGAAAGTTTAATTTCATTGCAGCAAAATTTGTATCTTTTTTAACGTACACTTATAGCTATAAAAAAGGTGCCATCATTTTTCAGTTTGCTCAATTGATACTTTTGACATCAGAGTATTTGAACTATGATTGAATAAATTGATCAGTTGCAAATAGGTCAACATGACTTATACTTTTGAATAAAAATAGCATAAAGTATTTGTCTCCAAGATTATTTTTTTCTAATTAATGTTTCTTTAACAGTCAGTTCTTTAGTACACTGTATCTGTGAACGGTAAAGAGAGAGTATCGCTTTGGTGCTTCTAAAAAATTAAATCTGTAAGACTTGTCAAAATTTTCAAACATCAACAATTTTTATTTGGTTTATTAGTACAAAAAGAATGTAAATAATTTGTTATTATTGGTTTTGGAAATTTTATTTTTCTTGAGAATTTGCTAAAGACATAGAATTACAAAAAGTCTTATTGTTTACCGCCTATAAATCAAATATTGGAGAAACTGATGAAAAAAAGTAACAGTATAAGGAAAAACTCTTTTTTATGCTAAAAATTGGTTTTTATGACAAAATTTTGCTTGGTTACTAGACAGTGATTCACAACGTTTATCTCCACTGCAGTTATCTGTTCTCGCCAGTGTTGGAACCACAGATTTCATTGCTTACGACAGCCTATCGTAACTGACATTTTCAATAGCTTATTTGGGGTATTGAATGTTTTTTTTTTACAATTGAGACAAATTTTTTGCTATTATTTTCAGTTTTTTTTAGTTAAACAATTAATTGAATAATTTGAAGCAGTAACTTTTACTAATCGTTTTCGACACCTGAAATAGATACTGTCTTAAAAGATAATTTGCAGTTTAGTTTTTATGTTGCTGTTGATTGCATGCAAAGTGATTCTAAATTGAAGAAAAATTCTAAAATTTTTAACTTTATTAACAGAACGGTCTGCTGCATCTGGTGAACAAAATAATTTTTTTTTCAATAAGGTGCTGCTTGTTCAACCGTCGTCTTTTCATTTAAACAGAGTTGAATAGAATATAAATTTAAAATTGACAGAAAAATCTTGAGAAAAACAAAATTTGATTGCAATTTTTTACTGTTGTATTGTACTCTGTTTTCTAAATTGTTAACAGTCATGAAGATTACTGTAAAAGTTTGATATCTCATTTTATTTGTTTTGCTTAAAGTGGTCTAAACAGTTTTTTGGTGGTGTTCAAATGTGACTTAATACAATGCCCAAAGTGGTAAAATGACAACCACAGTTTTTTTTTTTTGGTTACAGGTTTTACAGTAATTAGGCCTAGTGAACTTTATTTATTCTGACATATTTGCAGTCGATCACGCTACTGTTTTTAAAATACTAAAATTTTTCTCTCTGTCCTTTAGGTTATTTTTTATTGCAGCTTGCAGTATATTGGGTTGCCAGCCTAACTTCTTAGATATATCCAATTTTGGCTTTAATAGCTGTTGACCGCTGTGGAAATCGATGAAACGTAAAGAAGATGATAACTGGATTTTGTTGAAGTTTTAAGAGAATTAGCTTTTCTTGTCGGTTCATGCCCTTTAAACACCTGTACTGTTTCACCTGTCAAAAACTTTCTTGCTCTTCTGCCTGTCAACAAATCTATTTTTGAATGTCTTCAAACGAATGTCAGCTCTTCTACCAATATGTGATTAATTGAAGAAAAAATTGATAAAATTAAGAGGAAGATAAAAGGCATTGAAAATGACGAAATAGAGTTATTGATTAGGAATGTTCAAACAATTGAGCCACCATTAATTCTTTAATAGATTAATAGATTAGCCCTGGTAGGTTAGGATATCGGAGAGCTAATACAGCAGGAAACCAGCGGAAGAACTACATTGTCCAGAGATTCATCCGTCTGCTAAATTCTTATGTCTCACACTACCACTTGCTGGCGCTTCAGACACGGCGGTAGCTTATTCAAATTTGAATTTAAATTTCTAATAAATAACTTTTTTTTTCAAATAATCTAACAATTTCCACTGTTTCTCACTTGCAGAAATACTGATTGGTTTTCAACAGATTTGAAGTTCTGTTAGAAATTCACACTCTGCTGAACCTTTCGCTCTTTTAGAAACAGTTTGGATAGATATGTAATTTACCTTCTTTTTTGTGTCAACATTTGCTATTTTACCACTGTGCCTTTTTTATATTAACAATTTGTTGATAATACCTTATTAGGTTTTAAAATGTTCCTTAAAGTTCCGTTTCTGTTTTTACTTTTCTTGACCATGCTTCTTTTTTGCTGAATTTTAGACCGTATTTGTTAAATACGTGAACCACAAATATCTTTAAGTAATATTTATTCTATTTAATGCCTTTCATATTGAAACTATTGGTGGTTACGGTATATATCACGACGTTTTTAATTGCTTTTTTTTATTCAGTCTTTTTACACCCCAGTCTTCGTTTCGGTGGTCTGTAAGCAGTTGACCTTCGTTGCAAAATTAGGTAAAAATATTTTATTTTATCTTAACTTCAACTTTTTAATTTCTTTATGGCATCTATTTCAAACGTTTGGTTTTCAGAAAGTTGCCAAATTTGAAAAATTTAAGATTTGATGGTCAAATTTTGAAGATATTTGATAGAACTTTTTTTGAAAACTACAACTAAGGAAACCAAGGGAAGGAAGAAACAGCTGCAATAGGGAGATTTTACAAGGGATATGACTTTGATGAATTTGAATTCTTATAATACACTGTAATTTTTGGAAGGTAAATTCAGGGAAGTTTGTGTCACAAGAGAGGAGAAAAAGTGAATTTGGCATATTTGAAAATATCAGTTGTTCTTTCTTTTCTCTCAACAATTTTTGATAAACCTGTATAAGGCTCTCACTTCTAGGCTTTGTTTTTAATTTAACACTGCAAGGCGTCGTTTGCCGAAAAACGTCCAAAAGAAGCCACATTTCACTCTAACAGCTACAATGGAACCTTCAAGAAAATTGGACTCTACCTTCTCGGTTAGCAGCTCTACGCCCACTAATCATTATTGTCTTAATCATCTAAGGGCTTATTCTGCTCGCAGCTGAAATTCATTGTACTACCTGAGGTTACAGAACTAAAAAATGGTGCTGATTTTTCTAGCTTCTTAAGCAGATTTATAACATGCGGTGATTACCACAGCAGTTATACTGTAGTAGTATAAAATATTAGTTAAATTTTTATCAATAGAACTTGTTCTTGGTCTTGCTGCTGAAACTAAGGCAATATTTTGTAAAACTTTTCTGAAGCAATATAGTTTTCTTGTCAGGAACTTCTTAGCGGTGATACTTCCCAAGGATGACATTTCTAAGTCTTTCTAAACAGCCTAGAGGTCTTAGAAAATGTTTTTGCCTTGAAAAGGTAGATGCTTTTTTGCTTTTTTTGACTCTATGTGATAATGGAATCAAAAATAATAATTATGACTAAGCAATTTTATGTTTACAATCACTAATTACTTTGTGAAAAAACTATTCTGTCCTGAACGTTCAGCGCGATCGTCTGGCACTTGCTCTATTCTGCGTGCTTCGAAAAATTCTTCCCTTGCTCCACATTTTTTTCAGCTTAACTGAGGAGAATTACTTGTGCTAATTGACAGGAAGAGTTCTTTAAACTCTTTGAAGTTCTGCCTAAACTTGACAAAAATTCATTTTACAAATAAAGTTATTTCCAGTTTATTGCTGAATCACTGCATCACAACGATTAGTTCAATGCTTCTCAGAAAAACAGCACAAGGAAACTTTGTTAACTTTTTTTTTTAAAAGAAAAGGCGTAACAGTGAATATAGCAAAGATTAATTTTTTGGAGATCCGACGAATTTATAAGATGTTTTTTTTTATGATGCAGTTTTTAGATCTTAATGAAGCAGAAACACCTGGTTAAAGAAATCTTTTTCAGTCTTCACCACCGCTTCTACTTGGAGCTTGTCCTATTCAAATGCATAAAGTTACGCGGAGAGAACGCGGCAATCGACTTGGCTGCTATCCCGGATTCCGTGGCTGTACTATTTGGTTAACAGGTCTTTCTGGAGCCGGGAAAACTACTGTCGCCTTTGCCACCGAGAAAGTTTTGACTGAGGTATGGGAAAATTACCGTACTTTACCAAAAAAGTTAAATACTTGGATTTTGAACGGTTTTGTTAAATTACCTCTCTGGCTACTTTTTAGTTGGGTTTACCATCGTATGCCCTTGATGGTGATAATGTTCGAAACGGGCTGTGTAAGAATCTTGGGTTCAGTAAGGAGGGAC